CGAGAGAGCGCGTGGTGAGGGCACCTCAAAAAGCAAAAAGGGCTTGTTAGTAGAATTTTCGTAGAAGTGTCATAGGGAAGAAACCTTGTATTCTATTACAAACTAATCACTACGGGAATGTTGCCTAAAAGCTTAAATTAAACACTAATGGCCCATCTCCAGGAATCCTGCCTCCTGCAGGAGGAATAAATTAACACCTGCCCTCCGGAGGCTGAAGGGAACCAGGAAGTGCTTGGCTTTAGTACGGCCCCTTTCAGTATGAAAGAATCCTGCCCGCTCTCTCAGGGAAGATGGCTCTTTGGGACACGAGTCCACTGTCTTCTCCAGATCAAGTTGCTATTCCTTGCCCCAACGACTCGGCTCTCGATTTATTGGCCTGTCCTGCATAGACCAGTACAAGCTTGGACTTGGTAACAAAAGGAGAAGTGCCCGGCGTGGAAACAGCCCCGATGGAAGGAAACGGGATGGATCCACAGACGGGGCAAGTATCCATCTAGACCAGAGCCGTCCAACAGGGGGGCGGAGTGCCAGGCGACCACTTGAACTTAGCTTAAAATGAAGCAAACTTAAAAGTTGAGTTCTTCAGCTGCCCCAGCCCCATTCGAGTGCTCGTGGCCACACGTGGCTACCAATGGGACAGCACGGATCTGGAACATTCCACGTCCGCCTCTGGGCGGCACTGGTCTAGGCTAATCCCACGGGGCCGTTTAGGGAACATCACAGGACACTGTCTGGGGCTTTCCGGAAAAGGCATCCTTATTCACAGAAGGACCTGGCAGGAAGAGGGCTCTTTTCTGGAGGGTGAGGGGACAGAGGAACTGCTCTGAGAAAGGAAGGTACGGCAAGGGTGCTGCATGCGTTTCTGGGGATGGCTGTGACAAAGCCCCACAAGCTGGGCGGCTCAAAACAGCAGAAGTTTCTTGTCTCCCAGTCCTGGAGGCCAGACACCCCTCACCCAGGTGTCGCAGGGCCGGGTCCTCCCGGAGGCTACAGGGGAGGCTCCTTCCCGCCCCTTCCGGCCTCCGCTGTAGCTGTCCTCCTGCCTCCCTGGCCTCGAGCTGCGTGGCCAGTGTCTGCACGCGTGTCTTCACATGGCTTTCTCTCAAGGCCGCCAGTCACTCGGTCCAGGGCCACCCTAACGCAGGAGGACCTCTTCTTAGCTAATGACATCTGCAAAGACCCTATTTCCAAATCAGGTTGGGGACACTATTCACCCCAACACAGATGAAAAGAACGTGAATCCATGACAAGGTCCCCAAGCTGTGAAATTAACCAACCCCAGAGCCGCCACCGCCCGGGGCTGCTTCCCACGTGAGATGATCGATGTCGTCGTGGGTCTAAACTGCTCTGAGTCAGGACTGCAGCGATGCCGCTAAAGGCACCACAGCTGCTACCACCCTCGCCGGGCTCCTTGACGCAGCTGTGCCTCCGTTTCCTCCCCTAGAAACTGGGTAGGAAATCTCAGGGTTGGAGGCTCCACACTAGTGTCTAGAAACCCAGGTGCCCTGATTGCATCACTGCTCGCTGAGTCTCCCTTTTCTCGTCTCAAAACAGGGACCATTACAGGGTTTTGTGAGGGTTCTGTGACATCAGGTAGGTGAGTCAGCTGCTGTATTAGTTTCCTCTTGCTGCTGTAACGAAATACCAGAAATTTAACATAAATGTATTCCCTTACAGTTCTAGAGGTCAGGAGTGTGACTTGGGCCTCACGGGGCTAAATCCAAGTGCGGGCAGGGCTGGTCCTTCCGGAGGCTCAAGGGCAGCATCAGTTCCACCTCTTCCAGCTTCTAGAGGCGCCGCATCCCTGGCTCGCGGCCTCTCCTGCATCCTCACAGCCAGCAGCGCAGCATCTCCCGCCTCTCTCTGCCTCTGACCCTCCCGCCTCCCTCTTATAAGGACCCTGGGATGACACTGGGCCCCCCAGGGAATCGAGGGTCCTCCCCATCTCGGCGTTCTTAACTTAATCCCTCCTGCAAAGTCCTCTCTGCCTTGTGAGGTGACACATCCTCGGGGCCCGGGACCAGGACGGGGACGTCTTTGGGGCCGTTAGTCTGCCAACCACGCTGGTAGTTGCCAGGTGGCAGCGAGTTCAGGCTCCGAGAGGAGCCTCAGCTCTGGGTCTGGTCCTGGATTCTCACCATGTAACCGCCCTGCCTCTCTGTGCCTCAGTTTCCCCACCTTACATAAGTGGGGACACACATCCCCTCTTGAGGACCCAGGGTTGGACCTGCCTGTCCCTGCGTAATTTGGGATACGACTGCTCCTGCCTTAACTTCACACTCCTCTGTGAACCGGGAGGGGACTCCGTGGCTCCCAGGACACCTGGTGGATGCGGGTGCAGGGAGACAAGCGGCTCCCCCGACAAGCGGCTCCCCGGGGAGGAGCAGGCCACTGAGGCTGGTTCAGGCCCCGCGGGGGCCGCGCCTCTCCAGGCAGCCTGAGTCAGGGCACCACACCCATCAGCCAGCGACTCCTGCCGGCTTGTCTCCAACATGGATGCTGTGGCCCCTTTCTCCCCAGCCCCACGCTGCCCTGGTCCATTGCATCCGCTCACCCGACTGCTCCCCAGCCACCTCCGAGGTCTCTCTGCTGCCCTTCCAGCCCCACCTCCAGCCCATTTCCACAGGAGAGATCCTTTCAGCTCCAGCGCTGCCCTGCAACCCTGCCTAGAACCATCCGAAGCCAAGCTTCTCCCCACGGCCCCCAAATCTTATTCCTCCTCTCTTCTCTCCCCCCATCAGCCCCACCACGTGGGTCTCCGGCGGCTCCCCGAATGCGCCCGCTGAGCCCCTGCCTCGGACTCTCTCTCCCCAATCGTTTCACGTCTGGGGCCGCAGTGGCCTCAGGTCTCAGCTTAAATGTCATCTCCCGAGAGGCGCCTCGCCCACCAGCCCGGCTAAAAGCAGCCACCAGTCTCTTGCTCTGACGTCACTTGATTGTAATTTCTGCACAGCATCTACCAGGGTCTGCCATTTCCGTTTGTCTCTTATTTATTTACTGACAGCCTCTCCCTCTAGAAATCTGAGCCCCGTAAGAGCAGGGATCAGATCTTTCCCATTTCCTACGATACCATCAGCACCTGGCAGGGCGAGGCATGCATTAAATATTTGCTGCATCGATGAAAACGTCAAGATCGGGCTTCCCTGGTGGCGCAGTGGTTGAGAGTCCGCCTGCCGATGCAGGGGACACGGGTTCGTGCCCCGGTCCGGGAGGATCCCACATGCCGCGGAGCGGCTGGGCCCGTGAGTCATGGCCGCCGAGCCTGCGCGTCCGGAGCCCGTGCTCCGCAACGGGACAGGCCACAACAGTGAGAGGCCCGCGCACCGCAGAAAAAAAAGCAAAACAAAACTGTCAAGATCATTGGAATAATCCAACAGCCTGCACTTCAACAACACGAGTATCTGAATTCTGAACACTCCTAATCCCCGTGGCCATGGCCAGTGGGCAGACACAGCTCACCCCTGAGGGGATGTGGTTTGAAGCCCAAGGCATCACCCACAAAACATCTCACTACAAAATCAGTCTTGAATCCAGTGAAGCTGAGATTCAGCAAAAGAAGGGGCCACAGCCAAGTTAGAAGACGCCAGGAGAGAACAGACAGACCCAGAGTTTGGGGCAGCCTGAGGCCCGGCATGTCTAACAGGCTTCTGGGATGCAGCGGACCCTGCCTGGACCACACATGGACGAAAGTCAAGGCCACTAGGGGCCACCACAACAAAGCACCATAAACTGGGGGCTTAAAACAACAGAAATGTAACCCTGACCCTACTGTTCTGGAGGCTGGAAGTTGGGAATCAAGGTGTGACAGGGCCCTGCTCCCCGGCGGTGAGGGGCTCAGGGGAGGGCCCTCCCCGCCTCTTCCAGCGTCTGGTGGTGGTGAGCGGCCACCCTCAGTGTCCCTTGGCTTGTGGACGCATCGCTCCATTTCTCCCCTATTGTCACGTGGGCCCTCCCGGAGCGTTTGTGTCCAAATCTCCCTCTCCTTACCCAACAGGGCCGCCCTAATCCAGTGTGATCTCATCTTAACTTGATTATGTCAACAAAGACTCTATTTCCAAATAAAAACCATATTCACAGGTTCCGAAGGTCATGAATCTGGGGGGATACTATTCAGCGCAGTACGGGGGTGGGGGGCGAGCGGGGGAGAGGTTGTAAAAGAACCAAAGACAAAACAACCAAATGCAAAGACACAGACCTCCAGGATCCTGGCCCCAAAAACCAGACTGAGGCGCTGTGAATACTGCCAGGCCCTGGATGTGACAATGAACTGTGGACGGGCAGGGCCCCGGTGGGCCAGGGGGCCGCACGGAAGCATTTTACGGAGCGTCTTCCCCCGGGCCGCTTGCCTCCTGATGGTTCATCAAAAACTACACACAGGGGCAGACAGGCTGAGCGGGGAGCGTGCAACGTTCACAGGCGTGGGTGCAAGTACGGGCCGGCCATCGGCCCACGTTTCCGTACGTCCAAAAGGTTCATAATAAAACCAGGACAAATGAAGACCTGTTCCCTTACAGCACCTTCCAAGTTCCCGGAGTCTCACATCTCGAATCCTGGGGCCTAGCGGGGCCCGGCCTTTCTGCGCCCCACCTCAGGCCAAGGTCTCCGGCTCTGTAGTCTGGGAAGGAGGTTTCAGTGGGGGTCTGGGTAGCAGGACGCCCCCACCCGCGTCCTCCCCCGCCCCCCGCAGACTCTGGCCGACTGAACGGGGGCTCAGCTTAACCCGCGCATGCGTGCCCCCCTCCCACCAGCCGCCCTCTCCCCGCCCCGCCCCACGTGACGCCGTGGGAACCTGGACCCAAGCGCCTCCCGGGTGGGGGCGGCCCGCTGAGCGCGGGCTGGCGATGGGGGTCTAGGGTGATGGGGAGAGAAGGAGGGACGGAAAGAGACCTGGCTCTCGGGGTCCAGAGTGTCCCAGAGAAAGAAGTGGGGGATGGGAGCCCCTGTGCCCAGGCTGGGGCTCCGGGGAGGATGGGATCTCAGGGTCGCGCCGGCCCACTCACCCGAACGATGTAGGAGACCCCGGGCCCCAGGACCCTGGCGTCCGGGTGTAGCCAGCCGTGCGCCGGCTTGTGGATGAAGCTGCCTTTGCGGATCCACTCGGCGGCGGCGGAGTCCGGGGGCCCGGCCGCCCCCCGCGACCCCCGCGACCCCCGCGCCCCGGCGGCCCGGCAGCGACTGAGCGCCGGCAGGGGGCAGGGCGCGGTGCAGCGCGGCTCGCAGGAGCCCAGGACCGCCGCCGCCAGCGCCGGGACGCCGGCCGAGCCGGCCGGCTCGGGCTCGGGCTCGGCTCCCCCCGCCGCCCCCCCCCCCCCCCCCCCCC